GAGGATTCAAACGTCCTTCTAGTGATGCAAAAGGCATTTTCGAGTGTTCCTCTGAATTATTTTCTTCAAAAAAATCATTTTACAAATTGAAGTTTATAGAATTGGGGGAAGGGAGCAAAACCAGTTTGCTTCCAAAAAAAAAAAAGGATTCAAACAGATCCTATTTCACAACAGCTAGAAGAGCGAGCCAACAGATAAATCCTCCATCAAGTGTCCTCAAGGGCAGGTGCAGTCTTTACCCTGAACAATAATCTCAATGTTCGCAACTCTCCCAAAGGTGTCTGAACATATAACTTATTCACTCTGACTTGTCAATCAGCAAACACTGGCCCCACACCCATTTTGGCCAATTTTCTAGAAGCTCAACCTGGCGTCTCAGGTTAGCAGAGCAGACAGACCTGTTTTCCTCCAGTAGTGACAGCCAACTCCAGCCTGGGAAATCCCCCTCCAGCCTTTTGCTGGCCTGTCACCAGAGGTTCATAGAATGAATTCGTGCAGATTCTTTGAATCTTCCTTTTCTCCTGTCATGTGCCAACAGCCAGGCAAATAAAATGCCTCCTTGTCACGCTCTCTGTTACAAAAAGACGCAGATTCACAGGGACAGCAAGCTCTTAGCATGGAGGGGAAGAAAAAAAGATGGAGGGAAGCGAGAGGCCCTGAGTTGAGCCTTCTGCATGCAGTACCATGACCAGAGCCCAAGTCCTGCAAAGGCTCCAGAGGGAGGCTCCTGGCTGGGCCGTCCATACAGAAGGCCACACCTGTCTGTGCCAGCAGCTTGCCGGCTGCTCCAATTTCAACAATTCAAACACACCTCCAGCAGGGTGGCAAAACTGGGCAGCCCCCTCTCCCAGTAAGGGTGAGAGTCTTAATCCAAGAGCACTTGCCCCCAATTATATTTCTTTTCACACTCTTTGCTTTGTTTGGGAGACACTGCTTGGTCAAATAGGCTCCCTCTCTGTCAATGGTGAGGAAGGCACAATGCTGCAGTGCCAGAAAAGAAGCACCCACGCTGACTTGCTAGAAGCCAGACAAAACCTCTTCTGAGAATTCTGATACCAATAAAGGGACTCTAGGAGGCAGGTTTCACTCTGCCCATCCAAGAGTGAACAGTCCGAAGCCACTCGGCTCCAAGCCTCGCAAAAAAAAAAAAAGCTGTTTTCTAGAGGGTGGGTATCCTATTCATCCCTCGGCATCGGCATCAGTATCGGCAACCAAAGGGAAGCAGACAGATCCAGGTCGTGCACTCTGAATCCAAACCTTTGCAAGCGAGTGAAGATCTGGGGCACCACGGCGCGCCCTCCCTTGCGCTCCACCCTCCGAGGCCTCCACCTCCCGCGGACTCACCACTGTGCGAGCTGAACCACCTGGGTGCGATGTGCAGAGGTAGAGCATCCGCCAGCGAGGCTCGGGAGCCCAGGTACAGCATCCCGTCTCTATGGTGACCGCCGCCTGTCTCCTGGTAACCATTGCCATGGGCATAGGTGGAGTCGGACGCGGACCCTCCGCCGCCCGGTGCCCTCTCGGAGTCGCCGGTCCCCCGGGAGGCGGGGGTGTACAGGCCAAAGGACACCCCTCCGGCAGTGCTGGGGTCCATGCCCATGCCCGCCACAGAGCTGACGGAACGGCTGCGCAGCCCCATGGCCCCGCCGCCTGCCCGGTAGTGGCCAAAGTGGGGCGCCCCTCCCGGCGGGGGCACGGCGCTGTCATCGGTGGAGACCCCCGGGAAGGGGCCCCGGGAGCGCGCCGCCGTGCTCTGCTTGCCCCCCATCCTAGCCCAGACCCCGATGGGGCGGGAACCCGAAGGCCGAGACCCTCCCCCACTTCTCAGCAGCGGGGGAAGGATTGGGCCAGCATAAAGGGGGAGGGAGTAAAAAAGGAGGCCGTGAGGGGAAAAGGGGGGAAAAAGGGTGAGAGAGAAGAAAACCTGCGGGGCAGAAGACGCAGGCGGGCGGGGATCCCAAACTAAGAATTTAAAATCATCCAAGCCAAACGCATGTTTCCCCTCAAGGTCCAAGGAGGCGCAGTCCCGCTCGGGCTCCGCACGCCACAGGCCGCCCCCGGGTTCCCGAAAGCCAGGGGAGCCGCAGGGAGGGAAGGAGGAAGGGAGGCGGCGGGCGAGCGGGCGCAGGGAGGCGCCGGGGTGGCCGCCCGCCCGGGAGGAGGCGGCAGAGGAGGGCTGGGGGCGCCCGGCGCGTTCCCCGTCTCAGGACGCCGCGACCATGGACGGCGGCCGGGACCCCTCCAGGCCTCAAGGAGGCCGCGGCGCTGGGCGGCCAGGCGGGGCTCTGGAAGCCGCGATCGCGTCGTGTCGCGCTCTCGCTCCAGCCGCCGCCGGCTCCGCCAGCCGCGCCGCCCCGCTCGGTCCCGGGCTGCGCTCGCCGGCGCTCCTCGCCGCCGTGGAGACAATGGAGGGCAGTAGAGCGCAGGCGCGGCCCGCGCCCCCTCCCCCACTCACCCCCCCGCCGGCTTAACCCTTTCACCACTCCTGCGGCGCCCGGGCAGCTGACGCCCAAGAGATCTCCACGCACCCATACCCCTCGCTGTCCAGTGACCTGCGTAGCCTGAGCTTCAGGCCGTCAGGAATAGATACAAGACGTCTTTTCGAAGCAAACACTCTTTAAGGCTAATGATTCAGGGGGCATCATAATATATGGGGGGAGGGGCGGCGACGGTTCAAGGAGGTGGAACGGAAACCCGAAGAGGAATGAAAATTGCTCAATCTGACTACCTGATTGTGAGGGTCACTGGTCAAACTCCCCTCTAGCAAAAATTTGCCCCCACAGCACCCTCTGGTGGACATGTTGTCTATCCTGAGCGTCCCCATCCCCTTTTTCGGCTTTATCCTCACACCAGGGACCCCTCTGAACATCAAGAAGTGTGCACTTTAGGTTGTGGAAGTTTGGTTCGAATAGCACACTGGGGTACTTGTGGCTCTCGGGTTCAGAGAAGAGTAGATTAAAAAAAAGTTTGTGCTTAAGCAAATCGGCACATGAACAGGATAAAGTGAAAAGATACTTAATGTAGTTCCATGGAGCTGGGTTATAGTCCATGGAAGGACCCCGTTTTGTGTGCCATATTTCCGCATGCACTACAAGGCCTGGAGCACAGCAGGTACTTAATATGTATTTGTTGACCAAGCCCTCAATTCGAATCTGAGAAACACCTTTTAACCTCTCTCCTTATGTTTCTCACACATCCACATTCATTCATTTATTAATTAATTCATCAACTATTTTCCAAATGCCCTGTGATAAGTGCTGGCTATAGGCATCAACCAGGTCTAAATGTCCCCAGATAATTCCAAACCAAGGAGCAAAGGTGTATATACATATATCAAAAGGAAACCAAATTTCATGGGACATCCCCGTTGATTGGCCTAATGCTGTTAAGTGTTCCTGTTCTAACCCCTAGTTGCATAGTTCCTGGGGTCTTAAAAGTTCACAAGTGGCCATCCAGGGCACAACAGCTGGTCTCTATTCACCTGGAACAACAGAGGAATGAGAGTCAGGAATAGGAGGAGGATACAGAATGTGTGATTAATTGCCCCCATGAACAACCACCTCCTTTGCCATGAGACCAGAAGAACTGGATAGTGCCAGGCTACCATTACTGAACATTTTGATGAAAGATTCCATAGAAGAATCCTGATCACAGAAGAATCAAGTGGAAAAATCCCAAACAGAATTTCAAATTCTCATGGACTCTAGACCTTCTGGAGCCATGGAAAGTGGATAAACCCCTGAAATTATTGCCTTGAGATCATCTTTAAATCTTAAAAAAAAAAAA